TTATATCCCAACTATTTAGCAAAATTTCTTGAAGGTTTTTAAAACGTCTAATGCATAGGATAATTTTATCTTTCAGTGTTGCATAATATCCGTCTTGCCAACCTGTTACACTTGCCATGAAACTTAACATTAATTAAAATACAACAGAGGAGAATTATTTATATAAGTGACGACCAAAGGTTTTAAGTTCGATATGAATGAAAAATATGCCGGGGGAAAAGTATGAACTAGGCAAAAACTTTTAAAAATTTGGTGTAAAAATAAAGTGTCCAAGTGGTTAAGACTGTGACGTGTTAGTAAGAAACTCTGATCACTTATTTCTTGTATAATTCTGTGGTTTGGTCGCCATTATAAGAGATCGTCAAAATTATTAAGAAAGGCATTTTAATAATGTGTATATTTAATGATATATTATTTGGTGTTGCTTACTGTACTTTCTTGGTTATTACTCTTAAAGTATTCACGTTTAATGCCCACATAATTCACATATTGTTAAGTTGCTGAAACAAACATTTGATTTTTAACGACTGGAATAACTTTATGCATATAGTAAATTATTATGAGTTATTGTATATTGTTGACGGAGACCTTTGATGGCGTCCCGTGGCTTGTGGGAGTCTGTAAATATTGGTCTCTGCTTTTTAAACTATGCCACAGAAAAAGAATCTTTACCCATTTTATGTAAACCCATTAATTTCCATAAAGTGGACGAGAATAACTTAACAAGCAACAGTTATGGTATTGTTTACAAAATATTGTTCAGTAACTCTTTCCATCCCTGGCACTGGCTGTAACGTCATCAAAGCGAGTCCTCAACAATTTACATTGAGACCAAGAGTAATTAAAACTGCAGGTGAGGCTGGGTCAGTAGAGTAACAGGTGAAAACAATGTTACCAACTTTATATAACGTAAATCTACATAATTAAATAAAACTTTATAACATTGAAATAATAATAATCTGAGAAATATTAAATCGTATATATTGGCTTTATATTATTTTATTTGTTCATTTAAATATCTTTTTTTTCTTACTCTTAAAATAAGTTTTAATTATTAACCTTATACTATAGATACAAGACAGCGGGTCACCTGAAGACTGCCCCCCCCTCCCACCTTATTTCACCTGATGATTAACCACCATTAAGTTACCTTGAGGGTTAGGTTAGGCTAGTGTGAGGGTGGTTCATCTTCAGGTGATCTAAGCCAACCTGTCAGTAATATTCTCGAATTCCTTAGATCAGGATAGAAACACGTTATCCTATGCCATCTGGCTCCTAGGATAGAAACATGAGTTATCCCACCTGGCTCCTAGGATAGAAACATGAGTTATTCCACACCATCTGGCTCCTAGAATAGAAACACGTGTTATCCCACACCATCTGGCTCCTAGAATAGAAACACGTGTTATCCCACACCATCTGGCTCCTAGAATAGAAACACGTGTTATCCCACACCATCTGGCTCCTAGGACAGAAACACGTGTTATTACATTTGGCTCTTGGGATAGATACTCGTATTATCCCACACCAACTGGCTGCCATTCTTCCAGGGCAATATTATGATGCCATCTAGCACTTGTCAGTCCCGGTGAGTCTGAAGGTATGTCATTCCTTTATGTTCGGACAGGAAGAAGTCGTCAGCCTTGTATTGAAAACATCATCAAAGGTTTAAAGGGTGGAGGAAGGCGTCAACTGATATCCATTGTTTGTATATAAGAGGAATGAGGTTTGTGTAATAATAATAATAATAATAATAATAATAATAATAATAATAATAATAATAATAACAACAACAACATAATATATAGATAAATAAAAGTCTGGTCACCGAACTAAAAAAAAAAGTAAATTAAACTTCAAAGCTAAACAATAAAAATAAAAAAAGCATTACAAAAAATATCAGGCTGAGGCTTTACCCCACCAACACACACACAGGCACCAAAAAAACCAATATAATAGTTATTCCTTCTTTTTTTTTTTTAGGTCAGAAACCGTGTTGTTTATCCCGTCAGTTGTTCATTGTGTTGACCTTTAAAATTACCACTGAATTATATACAAGAAGTGGCATAATGCAAGAGTTTTACTGGGTGTTACTGCTTGTTGGGTGCCGTAGTTCTGTGTGGCTATGTATGGCCATGTGGTTTTATGTGGCAGTGTGTTTGTGTGGCTGTGTATGGCCATGTGGTTTTATGTGGCAGTGTGTTTGTGTGGCTGTGTATGGCCATGTGGTTTTATGTGGCAGTGTGTTTGTGTGGCTGTGTTGGCCATGGTCTTATGGCAGTGTGTTTGTGTGGCTGTACGTGGTTTTATGTGGCAGTGTGTTTGTGTGGCTGTGTATGGCCATGTGGTTCTTATGTGGCAGTGTGTTTGTGTGGCTGTGTATGGCCGTGTGGTTTTATGTGTAAGGTGTTTGTGTGGCTGTATGGTGTGTATGTGGTTTTATGTACAGTGTGTTTGTGTGGCTGTGTATGGCCATGGTCTTATGTAGTGTGTTTGTGTTGTGCATATGTGGTTTATGTGTTTGTGTTTGTGTGGCGTGTGTATGGCCCGTGTGGTTTTATGTGTATGCAGTGTGTTTGTGTGGCTGTGTATGGCCATGTGGTCTTATGTGGCAGTGTGTTTGTGTGGCTGTGTATGGCCGTGTGTGTCTATTGGCAGTGTGTTTGTGTGGTGTATGGCATGGTCTTATGTGGCAGTGTGTTTGTGTGGCATGTATGGCCGTGTGGTTTTTGTGGCAGTGTGTTTGTGTGGCTGTGTATGGCCATTGTGGTGTGGCAGTGTGTTTGTGTGGCTGTGTATGGCCATGTGGTCTTATGTGGCAGTGTGTTTGTGTGGCTGTGTATGGCCGTGTGGTTTTATGTGGCAGTGTGTTTGTGTGGCTGTGTATGGCCATATGTGTCATGTGGCAGTGTGTTTGTGTGGCTGTGTATGGCCGTGTGGTTTTATGTGGCAGTGTGTTTGTGTGGCTGTGTATGGCCTGTGGTTTTATGTGGCAGTGTGCATGTGGTTTATGTGGCAGTGTGTGTTTTGCTGTGTATGGCCATGTGGTCTTATGTGGCAGTGTGTTTGTGTGGCTGTGTATGGCCGTGTGGTTTTATGTGGCAGTGTGTTTGGTGGCTGTGTATGGCCATGGTCTTATGTGTGGCAGTGTGGTTGTGTGTGGCTGTGTATGGCCGTGTGGTTTATGGCAGTGTGTTTGTGTGGCTGTGTATGGTCGTGTGGTTTTATGTGGCAGTGTGTTTGTGTGGCTGTGTATGGCCATGTGGTTTTATGTGGCAGTGTGTTTGTGTGGCTGTGTATGGCCATGTGGTTTTATGTGGCAGTGTGTTTGTGTGGCTGTGTATGGTCATGTGGTTTTATGTGGCAGTGTGTTTGTGTGGCTGTGTATGGCCATGTGGTTTTATGTGGCAGTGTGTTTGTGTGGCTGTGTATGGCCATGTGGTTTTATGTGGCAGTGTGTTTGTGTGGCTGTGTATGGCCATGTGGTTTTATGTGGCAGTGTGTTTGTGTGGCTGTGTATGGCCATGTGGTTTTATGTGGCAGTGTGTTTGTGTGGCTGTGTATGGCCATGTGGTTTTATGTGGCAGTGTGTTTGTGTGGCTGTGTATGGCCATGTGGTTTTATGTGGCAGTGTGTTTGTGTGGCTGTGTATGGCCATGTGGTTTTATGTGGCTGTACTACTACTACTACTAATAATAATAATAATGATAATAATAATAATAATAATAATAATAATAATAATAATAATAATAATAATAATAATAATAATAATAATAATAATAATAATAATAATAATAATAACGTTAACAACAATAACTAGAGATCCGAATGACGATGAAATTAATGATAATAATAATAATAATAATAATAATAATAATAATAATAATAATAATAATAATAATAATAATAATAAATAATGACAATGAGAATAATAATGATGACAAATTATGACAATGATGAAATATAATTACTGAACACATAGCAGTCAATCAGTCATAAGACTAATTAAACGTACTCGATAAGCATTTCACACAAACACGATATAACACAAGTAAAGCCCATCAACCTGCAGGCGATGTAGTCACAGTTCATAATAACCATCATACTGAGTCGTAGTCCGCGTGTATGAGACTCAGGTTAAATAAATCACGAGTGTTAATATTGATAGGTGTTATAAAATGGACTCTCTCTCTCTCTCTCTCTCTCTCTCTCTCTCTCTCTCTGGTGATGACAGAATCATTTTAGAATTCAATTTACGATTCTTATTACCTGGTACGTGACTGCAGGATAGGGTAATGTTTTCTGTCCTGTCTGTCTGTCTGTCTGTCTGTCTGTCTGTCTGTCCCCAAAATAACTCAATAACGGGTTTATGGATTTATACTAAACTTGATGTGTTTGATCAATATGTGGCAAGGTCAATGTGATAAAATTTTGATTCATATCGCGTTAAAATTGGTCAGTTAGTGCCATGGTAAAAGGGTTTTTTCGGTGGTTAAAGAAAACGATGATATGAGACAGTTGCCATCGGGCACTGCATTAATTTATACAGTAATAGCGTAACTAGTTCGATATTTATGGTTCACGTAGATGATGTTTTGTTCTTTGATGTGTTTTGATTCCCACAAACAGAAGGACCTTTCTCTTTGGTTTAAACAGATTAAAAAAAAACACATTAAACCTCCTCTTCTTCACCAAATTTCATCTTAGACTACCTGTTAAAGCTAATCAGAAACACCAAACCCCTTACCTTTTCGAGTTTCCCTTTGCATCCTATTACAAATACGTCATTTCCTCTCAGGTCATAAGCACTGAAAAATATATAAATACTGTACCTTTACGTATTTTCCCTTAGATTACACATAAATATTAAACCCCCTCTAAACCCTTTATTTGTTCCCCCTTTTCCCCTTAGATCACTAGTACAGTAGCCCCTCCTTTTCTCTCTAAACCCATTTTTCCCCGTTTAAAACACCTCTCTTCTTTTTTGTTTATTCCCTTAGGTCGTCCCAGGCCGACAGTGTCATGGTTCCACGAGGAGAAGCTTTTGGATGAGGTGAGTGAGGTGAGGCGAGGAGAGATGACGAGCAACACCCTACACCTGCCCTCTCTCACCCGTGACTACCTCTACCGCGTCCTCACCTGTCAAGCCTCCAACTCCAACCTCTCCGTGCCGGTTGCTGCCACCGTCACCTTGGATATGAGCTGTGAGTACCTAGTTGTGAGGGTGATTTGTTGTTTATAATTGTGAGTATGAGTTTCTGTTTAAGTATGTGATTACTCGTCGTGAGGGTCTTTTGTTTACGTTTGTGAGAACTCGTTGTGGGTGTTCTGTTTGCACTTTGTGAGTAACATTGTTTGCTTAATCCTAGCTATGAGTTATAAGTTGTGAGGGTGTTTTGTTTACGTTTGTGAGTAGAAGATTGTTTGCCTTACCTCAGCTGTGAGTACTGCTTATGAGGGCACTTTAGTACTCCCATGAGAGAAGTACTTATTTAATCTTAGCTGTGAGGACTCTTAAGAAACCTGGGTATTTTATCTCATCCATCACTGTTCACTATAAGCCCTTTATCGTAAGTACCTAAGTTATAATTATTATGTCATGCTGGCAGTACTTAGGAGTCATACCTTGTGTAGTACAGAGGATACACAAGTACTATGCATTACGTTAACATTAAGTACACTCCCATAGTTCTAACACTCAAAGTAATTGTCAGATTTCCAAACCTAATCGTGATTATCAATTTCAGGTGGATTTGGGACTCTGGGTTTGATTATCTGTTGAGTACACTGATCATAAGTCATTGAGGATGTACTGTGAATGTAACACAATCAGTAGAGAGTTGGAGTTAAACTAAGTATATACTAGAGTTATGTAGTGTATATATTACTGTGCTGATGGAGTAAATGATGATGAGAGATACTACACATACAAGTATATATAGATATACATACAGTATGTGAGAGTATTCCACACATGTTACCACTAATTATGATAGATAGATAGATAGATAGATAGATAGATAGATAGATAGATAGATAGATAGACAGATAGATAGATAGATAGATAGATAGATAGACATACTTGTTTACATTAGGAACATAGGCAGGTGACAGGATCTCACACATAGTAGCGTTAAATATTCAACTAAAAATCTCTTAGGGCCGTAATGTTTTGCAATTAGTGGTGCATAATTAAACTGGGGGCTTTACCTTCTATAAATGTTTCCAAAGCGGCCTTTGTATACTGAACTAACACTTATAATAGCTGATTATGCATCGTCCCCATTACAAGTTTTACACATTTTATGAACCACTCAACTGTTATTTAGCACCGAGGGAAACTATCGTTCATTCGAAATTTATCTTGATTGATAAATGTGAAAATTGTAGGCGTGTTTTGTCCTTTTTATTCATGAAGAGTTTTCCTCGTATTAAATGGCAGGGAAGAATCAGTGTTGTAGGTTTCTGGATCTTTAACTCTTTAGTGTATTATCTAGTTTATAAATACCTGAAATCCAGTTACCAGGTAGGTTAGTTGACCGTTCGTGTGAGTTAGACGTTCGCAGTATTCAATGATCCGGATTTGGTGAATATTTACATGTTGTTATTTGGTGTCAGCGTTTGTTTACGTTATGTTAGTCCAAGTTATCACATAAGAAAAGATCCTTTGTTGTTAAATCAGTGTACTGTACTAGGTGTTATTTCAACATGTCTAAGATGTTCTAAGATGTTCATTGTTAATCACTGTGTTAATGTTACCCGAGTGTTATTGTACGACACAAGCCCACCTAACCTATCCCAATCTAACCTACTGCCCAAATATTACTTAGATGTTGCTTAACTATTGTGTCTGTCATCCCTGTGTACTGAGGAGTAATACGTGTTACTGAACTATTCTGAACACCCAAAAAAAAAGTAATTATTGTTAGTTAAGGATTTTTTTGTGCACTATACATCAAGTTGGTTTAATGTAGAGTTGTGTAACTTTGGTTGAGTTGGGAAATTATATGCAAAAGGTTGAGCTTGAGTAATTAAAGTATACGGTCTGCTGGTGCTGATTCCCGTGGGAATCAGTGATGCTATTCCTGCTCAGGTACACACACACACACACACACACACACACACACACACACACACACACACACACACACACACACACACACACACACACACACACTATCTACCCACATCCCCCCACACATGCAACTATCTACTCCCCCACACACACATCCATAACACTTCACCTCACCCTAGCTCTTCATTTTGTCAACCCTTCCCCTCTCTCTACCACTCCCTCCCTTCTCCCCCTTTTCTGACAGTCCCCCCTCTAGACGTACGGATCATGGGCACGATGGAGAGCTTGTCGGAGGGCGAGAGGTACTCCATCGTCTGCGAGTCCTCCGGTTCGAGACCCACAGCCACGATCACCTGGTGGAAAGACGGCATGTTGATGACGGACACCAAGAGCCAGGTAAGCTATATTAACCTAACTCTGGGTTCCTATATCATTTAGTGTTGGTTTCTGTTCACTCCCACTCATTGTATGGACTTTAATACCGACTCCTTTAGGTTTGTATTCCATCTATAGATCTATATGGCTATTTACCTGTCAATATCAGGTAATCTAGTCTACCATATTACCTTATTGGGGCTTATACCTCTCAGGCCTTATTATGGGGGTTGTGTTTTATCTTCCCTTATTAACTTCCCCTCGTGGCCCTCTATTTCTGGTGTGGGTTTATATTGTCCACTCGTGGTTCTTTATGGCTCTGTACCTGTCTCTTTTATCAGGGGAGGATTACCGAGGTTTAGTATACTCCCTAGTCTTACATATCTTACCTTTATAAATGTATATATCCATGTACATTCGCTCCCCCCAAAAAAGTATCTTTACGATTTTGTGTTAAACAATATGACACAACGGACGAAGGATTTTGACAACACTACCGAGACAACAGGAGTCACAGTGTTCATTTTGAAATTCATCGGACCTCACCGTAAAGGTACTTTTTGGAGTGAGTGTTTACCCATGAATCATCTGGCTAATTTCCCCCCACCCCCCGATTACTGTTGATTTCTATTGTATCTCTTATAAACATAGGCAGTCCAGAGAGTGGGAAGCTGGTAACTCTATCTACTGTAATGTTATTGGAATATTCATGAAAATAGCTTTGTAATGGGTGGCAAGAGGAAGAAATTAAGTACGGTTGAAAGATTTATTGAATGGGTTGAAAAAACGATTCACATATATAAGGATAAATTAAGAGGTAAAAGAAGAATGGCAATTAAAGTGTAACTGAGGTGTGTGGATAAAATACATTGGATATATAAAAACAAGACTAATATTTGGTGGATTAAGAGGCTGACAGAGCTAGTTAAGGAGAAGAGACGGACCTACGAGTGTTTGTTGTAAGTGAGAAGTGATGAAAGGACTAAGGAATAACTGAATATTAAAAGATGGATTTAAAAGAATGGTGAAATATATTTATAAAAGATGAGTAGATGAATAACTGAAACAAATTACATATGTTATTAAAGAAAAGAAGAAGTTTTGTTGGAAAGTAAACAGAAATAACTAAGAAAATTAATAAATTGACAAATAAAATAAAAGAAGAATAATGGAGAGAGAGAGAGAGAGAGAGAGAGAGAGAGAGAGAGAGAGAGATGCGTGTGGAGATTACCTGTCTAGGAAATTACCAGAAAAATGAGAGGTAAGGAGGTGAGATAGACTATAAGCTTAAGAACTCTGTCAGACACGAGGCGTAGACAGAACCACACTATTACAGGGAGAAGGTGAAGGGGAGGGTTAGTGGATGGCGAGAAGAGTTAACAGTGAGTGCCAGGTATCGTATCTAACGTATAGTAAACATTGATAAAACTGAATTATAAAAATACTAAGGACTATATCTGTTAAGTATTGGGATTATATACTAATGTAGAGGCATTATTAAGTCATGGTTACTATAGTGATTATATTAGAGGTTGGTGATGAAAGTTCAGAAAAAAAGATTATTTGAACCATGTATGTGTGTTGAGGAATATAAGTAGAAAAAATCTGAAAAATGTGAAGGATTGTTTGTTGCATTTGTGTATAAGTGAAAATATATTGTGAGGCAGAAAAACGATGTGGAATGTATTGTAACTTTGGTTTAAAATGGGGAAAATGTTGAATGTTGTTCAGTATTTTTTTTTTTTACACAGAGAGAAACATGAATTACAATGTGCAGTTAAAAAAAAATTGAAGTTTTTCCTCGTAAAAATGGAAATTCGTCAGGAACATGTAAAGTTTCTCTAGTTGTTGAATATTTACAATGGCTGGGACAGTATAAAAGAACTTAAACCATGAGTAATGATGACTGGATCAGGTTTGATTGATAGGGATATGGGATGTAAATGAGAGGTCAGTCAGCTGCTGTTTGTAGATGACTCTGTTCTACTGGACGATACTGAAAAACTGAAAATTAGTGAAGGAATTTAGAAGTGCATGTATCGGGAGAGAAACTTAACAGTGAAAATAAAACAAATATTAAATTAGAGGAAGAATGAAAGAAAGTACAGTGTTTTAGTGGTACGATCTATGTAACAAAAGATAACAGTTGATTAAGAAATGAAGATAATATACCCACAGAAGAGTCAAGAGAGGCAATAATGGTTATGTAATGCACAGATATGAAGAAATAATTAACCTGGCATTGTTATAGGTTTTAAAGCACTGACTCACATTACAAGAAGAAGAAATTAGATAAAAGATATGGAAATTGATATACAATGAAACCTGTATATAACTCTTACACAATCCGTTATATGGGGGTTTCACATCTAACGGACCTCTCTAACAAATGGACTTTCCTCTCCATGGAGTTCGTTAAACAGAGGTTTCACTGTACTGTACTTGAAAGCAATACATGGGGATGAATGAGAAGCAATGAATAAGAAACAGAAATAAAAATAGAGATTCGGAAGTAAAAACGTATCGGACTGAGAGCCAATCAGGATATAGGATGGATAGAGAGAGAGAGAGAGAGAGAGAGAGAGAGAGAGAGAGAGAGAGAGAGAGAGAGAGAGATGAACCTCCAAGTAACAGCTGTGTATGTGAATGGTCAGATACCGTAATACCGAGTTGTTTATGAGGATGGTCGTGGTGCTGATGGGTAATGCTGGGTCGTGTGGTCGTAATAGAGGTAGTAAACTAGATATATACAGTATATCCTCGGGTCATTGTATGGAATAAGAATACCATAGGAGAACACATCTATTACAGCTGTCAGAAGAGAACGATTAATAGAGTAAACACACACACACACACACACACACACACACACACACACACACACACACACACACACACACACACACACACACACACACACACACCTGTCTTTTTTAATTACACTGACAATCCGTATCACCTGGTATAGTATACACCTCCTCATCCCATTCCTTACGAACCTCCCACACTTGACAAAATGCAACTTCCTCTCTCTCACACACACACAAACACCCTAAAACTGCCTTAAATATACAGTATATCTTAGGTTTAATATTAGAAACAGTTACCTTGGGCTAATTAATTACCTAAGGAGTTTAACCAGACTCAAAAGAACACGACTTGAGGATGGATGGAATTAATCACATAGATGCTACTGTAGTTGGATTCTTTTTTTTTCTCACCCGGATTTAAGACCAGATTCCATCGTCCATGCCAACGTGTCTTTGTTAATAATATAAGAGAGGCAACCTGAGGATAATTACAGAGAGGCCTTTATACATATATTGTATTACCCTGTATTTTTTTTTATGATAATGTATTAACTGTTTGAGAGTAGTTGTTGTATATGGGTTATGTAATGGAGTTATTTATTACAAAGTGAATTATAATCAAAATCCTTATTAATTAACACATATAATGCCATTATCACCAGTTCCTTCCACTACCACTATTTCCGTCACTATAATGGCACCATCACTAGTTCCTTCCACTACCACTATTCCCTTCACTATAATGGCACTATCACCAGTTCCTTCCACTACCACTATTCCCTTCACTATAATGGCACTATCACCAGTTCCTTCCACTACCACTATTCCCTTCACTATAATGACACCATCACCAGTTCCTTCCACTACCACTATTCCCTTCACTATAATGGCACCTCAAAGCCTTTAATGGAGTCCGTCACATTATTCAACATTACCTTCTATAATTGATTAAATATATTCATGCAATTATCGTCTCTATCATCCAGGTGTGTCGACGTACAAATTAGGTAGTGTGATTTGTGTTAGGTGTATATGTAACGCCTCTTCACACACACACACACACACACACACACACACACACACACACACACACACACACACACACACACACACACACACACACACACACACACACACACACACACACACACACACACACACACACACAGACACACACTACCACCAATTCCTACCACACACGCTATCACTAACATCGTCACCTCTCTCTACCACAGTTTTATTCACGCTACCACCACCTCTGCTTCTCCCTACCACAATTTTTTATAGACATACACTCACTCACCTTCATCCAACACTCGCCTGCTATATAACACAACATTCACCATCATTTCTCTTCCCCCCCTGTTCTTCCCCTCCTGCACCTACCGCTATCCATCCACCAACACTTACCACTATCCTCAACACCTACCACCATCCCCACCCTACAACACTCACCACCATCCTCAGCACCTACCACCATCCCGCCCTGAAACATTTACCACCATTCCGTCCTCCATCACTTGCCACTATCCTCAACACTCACCACCATCCTCAGCACCTACCACCATCCCGCCCTGAAACATCTACCACCATTCCACCACCATCACTACCACCTCAAAATACTCCAAAAACTCACCCAACAACCATCTTCCTCCCTCGTGCTACTACAGGTCTTCCATGAGGGGAACGTGAGTCGCTCCACCTTGTACCTAACCCCTACCCTGGGTGACCACGACGCCCATGTCTCCTGCAGAGCTAAGAACCCCATGGTACCAGCCGCCGTCTTAGAGGATACCAGGAAGCTTAACGTCCATTGTAAGTCAGCTTGAAGGATGTGTAGGATATGAAGGATATTTAACGCTTGTTTTATTGTATCAGATGTAATGTCTCTCTCTCTCTCTCTCTCTCTCTCTCTCTCTCTCTCGATCTCTTCTGTCTCTCTCACTGATTCTCTCCATCTTCTGTCTCTCCGATCTCTCTCTCGCTTCTGTCTCTCTCACTGATTCTCTCCATCTTCTGTCTCTCTCTCGCTGATTCTATCTTTTCTCTCTATCTCCTGTCTCTCATTGATTCTCTCCATCCTCAGTCTCTCGCTGATTCTCTCTTCTCATTCTCCGTTTGTTAGTCTTTGTTACCTCCGTCTCTTCGGTCTTTCTCTCATTCGTTCTCAAGGAAATGAAGAAGTTGTGTGTAGACATGAGTCTTAACAAAGGCTACTGGTATAAGCGTGGAATTAGCCTATCAAAGTAGTCTCTCTCTCTCTCTCTGTACTCGAGGATATATGAGGCGAGAAATACTTGTTGTAAATAAAATGTGGAAAAGTTACTGTAGCCGGTGTCACATTACCTTAACTACAGCGGTGTCACATAACAATAGCTATACCATAAGTGTAAGTTGTGTCACATTATAACAACTATAGGTGGTGTAACATTAAAATTACCGGGAATAGTGTCACATAGCTGGAGGTAGTGTCATATAACCACCAGTTGTGTCATAAGACTTGAATAAACGTACCTCAGCTGAAGTGTGAGACCAACACACCTGAGGCCGTGTTAATTACGGTAGGAACACGACTATTCCCTGAACCAGTGTTGTGTTGGGTGGGAATTCATAACAGGAATGTTTATATTTCTCGTAATTACAAACTCTCTCTCTCTCTCTCTCTCTCTCTCTCTCTCTCTCTCTCTCTCTCTCTCTCTCTCTCTCTCTCTCTCTCGCTCTCTCTCCTCTCTCTCTCTCTCTCTCTCTCTCTCTCTCTCTCTCTCTCTCTCTTCTCTCTCTCTCTCTCTCTCACTACTCTCTCTCTGATATAGAGGCAGGTAAACCTGTGGTGTATTTAACACATATTAAAAGATTAATAATACCTAATGGCACTTGGTCGCGTAACACATATTTTGACATTTAAGAATCATCGTCCTTATTCACACCTGAGAAATATAATACTACAGGTAGGTTCATTAGTGGATTATAAAAGAAGATAAATTAATCGTGTATAATAATCTTTATATCGTAATGAGCATAATATCGATGACCAAACGCTTCACAAATTTTACAAATGTTTGATATGTGACAAAATATTTCAAGAGTTATTTGTATGTGATCAAAATTATGTAAAACTTCCATAAACATATTCATATATTTTTATTTCTAGGACAATAATTAATTATACTTGTATGACACTGGCAATATTCTCTTAAATTATACTTCCCTTAGGCTGTTATCATAAAATACTTCCTTTTAAGTGTTTACATATGAACGAAAAATAAATAAATAAAATGTAAGGTATTTTTGTTTCGATATGATAACAGTTCAATAAGTATTTACTTACAGTACTCCATGTAATATTTTGTAATTCAGATGCTACTTTAAATTACACAAACTCAAAAAAGTAAAATAAAAAATCAGATAAAAGTACAGTATTTTTATAAAAGTACAGTATTTTTATAAAAGTACAGCATTTATCTCGGGTCGCCAAGAGAGCCGTAACACTAGAAAGGCTCAGCCATATCAATACTGTTGTTGTTAATCACTTTGTACCTGTATTTTTCTCACTAAATAAACCGTTTCAATTTTATTTCCAACTTCACTTTCATTATATTTGGATTGAGTATTTTTTCGTAAATTAATTAAACTCTGCTTCATATATTGTAGTTACTCTACTGTACAAAACACTTTTCTTTCCCCCAGACACACCGAGACTCTCCCTAGCTGCCGGACTTAACCTGGACATGGAAGACATCAAGGAAGGTGATGACGTGTACTTCGAGTGTGGCATCAAGGCCAATCCTCCGGTCTATAAAGTCCAATGGTTCCATAACGTGAGTATAAAATACCAGTGGTGCACAATGGAAGTACTAAGGCCAATGGTTATATTATATTGTGTTCATTAAGTTCAATGGTGTATAATATACTCTAAATCTAATAATGAACAAAGCAAATATAAAGGTCAATGAAGTCCCACAACGTAAGCAAAAGTTGAAGTAACATTACGGTACAAGTCTCTCCATGAAAGGGTAAACTGCAGTCTTTACCTCATCAATCATATAAAGAAAATGTTGCATAGACGAAGGAATTCAGGAGTTGCCTCTATGAACTTGGTAACGGTGGATTATTTTAGGTAATAAATGTGTAGATAGAGAGGAGAGAGGAGGAGAACATGAAGGTAGTGAAGAAGTTTGTTTACTGAGGGAATAAAAGGACTCGTAGAGAGATGGAATTTACGAGGGACGTTAGAAGTAGTGGTGTGGTGAAGTGATGGTGCTACTGTGTCATTATAGAGGACAGGTAAGACTAAAGGTGAAGTATTATGTACTAGAGAGTATCACTATGTATCTATGAATCTATGTCTGCTAAATTGAAAGATCCTGTTTGTTGTTATTGGCGTCGTGCTGGGTATTGACTTGAGACTCAATGTATTTAGTGAATTGACAAACTCATCATTGACGTATCTAACTAAGATGAGTAATATTTGTTGTTGTTGTTGACGTCGCACAGGGTGATGAACTGAGTCACAACGTATCAGCGGGGATAATCCTGAGCAACCAAAGCCTTGTGCTGCAGCGGGTGACACGTCGCTCATCCGGTCAGTACACCTGCTCCGCCACCAACCTTCACGGTCTCGGCAGCTCTAACGCCGTGCAGCTCAGTGTCAAGTGTGAGTATCCGAGATATTACCTCAACCATTATCTTAGCATAAACCTAAATATTTTATCGGATATTTACCTTGAATAATACCTAGCGAATTATCATGTTGAGCAGATTGGATGTTGTTATGACAGCCCTTCATCTTATTCATTAAATAATTAACAGCAATCATACCCCGAACATATTCCGGGATGTTGCCATGGTACATTGAGTTGCCATCTCTGAATCAGGTTTGAACCAAGAATATCTAAATCCATTACAGAAATTCCTAGATCAGTATCATAAAATTCTCATTCCAACGTATACACCATGAACTCAAAAATACTTATTCATTTGTTCAACCCAGAAGCTCGTATTTGTAGTCAGTTTCTTGTACTACTTAACCAAACCAACTTGTATAGAACTCATACAGTATTCAAAAGTCTCTGGTGTGTTTTCCTTACAGTCGCGCCCTTGTGTCGACCTGGCCAGAAGTTCGTGTACGGCGGAGGTAAACACGAGGAACTCAACATCACCTGCAGCGTTGAGGCTCACCCAGAACCCACCTCCTTCAGGTAACACGCTTATCAAAACATCCCTCACACTTAAAGAATGAAAATAGTTACACTCTGACCAACTTTCTATAAGGTTGGTGTTAACCGGATCTTCACTACAGACGTAATCAATAACACTACCACCACTACTGATATTATCTGAAAAATCTTGATGAAAGGAATCAAGTTAATACACTCCTGCCATTGATAACTAAAATGTCCATATCAGCTGTTGTTTGTTTCGTTAACCTAGATTATGTTGAGGGTGTTTATGGCCGAGTGAATATGGCACTCACTTCCTATCCTAAGGGTCATTGGTTCGATCCCATATCACTACCAGTCTACCCACAGGCCAGAAGATGGTGTAGGCATGTGAAAGAAACAAACATAACAGAGCAAACAAAGGGAAACTATAAACTGTATAATTATATAGACTTATTATGTAGTAACTTTAAGTATAATGTAATGGACGTAAATCTAGGCAGATGATTGATGACATAAGATGAAGATGACAATAACGAACAAATAATTGATGTCATACTCAAGAAGAAATGAAAATGGTAGAGTCAAAAGGAATTAGATTTTTACCTGAATAAGCCATTTAGTGAGAACCTAAAAATAAATGTTTAAATTCTGTTCCACTTTCTGTTGATAAGAAGAAAAAAAATCCAGTTTACATTCTTGAGGTAAGAAAAACTAAACCGATTCACGTCCTTCAGGTAAGCATCTAATTAAAATCCACCCATCCTACACATAGCATTCAACTGTAGGAAAAAACAAACTCAAACAGAGTCTATTTGGGCCTTGCTTGCTTTCATTTGTTTGTTTATTTCCTCCCTCATCCTCCAGGAGGTACGGTGGTCATCATAATTTACCCCAACCTAACCTGACCTAACACAGCCTAACACCTTAACATAGCCCAAACTAACATAACCTAACCTAACCTAATCTAACCTATTTGGTGTGCGGAGGAATACGCCAAGGTGTGATATGATCCTGGATACATACTTATCTTTATAAACAGACCACAACCTAAAATGAAAATAATCAATATGTAAACCTCTCTCGAGTCGTTTACACCAATTTGTGAGTATTACCAGACCTTTACTACACTCTTAAACATAAACATATACCCTCTTCCTTCATCTCTTCCCAGCAGATTGGCCATCAAAAACATTTCCTCCCTAGATATACGTCCATCAACACTCCATCTACTCCTTCCATCCCTTCAACCACACATAATGTTCCTCTCCAAGTAAAGATTCAAAAAGATTTTCAATAATTTACCTCACGTAGACATTACATTCCTTTCTCCTTGTTTTTTTTTCAGGTGGGCATTCAACAGTTCCTCAGAGATAGTGGATATCCCGTCTAGTAAGTTCTGGGTGGTGGGGAACGGTAAAAGCCAGGCTTCCTACACACCCAGGACCCACCTTGACTACGGCTCCCTTCTGTGTTGGGGAAATAATGACGTGGGCAGACAACTCAAGCCTTGTATCTATCACATCATACACGCTGGTGAGTGTTTGTCTCTCTTTAAGTCTGTTGCTCTGTTTTTTTATTATCTATCTATCTGTCTATCTATCTATTAATTTATCTATCTATCTATCTATCTATCTATCTGTCTATCTATTTATCTACAGTATCTATTGATTTATTTATCTATCTATATATCTACACCTCAGTTCCTTTTTAAAAATAACCACGATATCATTCCCTTATCGTTTTACACATACTGTACCCCGTGAGTGAACAGCGATGCGTCTCTCTGTCTCTCCACCACGGTTCGATAACCTTTTGGAGGCAGCTCAGAGTCTTGCCTCACCATACCCGGGTCTGAGTGCATAGAACATATATATATATACCAGATAATATAAAACACAGAGGATACGATTAATAAAGATACATGCACTGATACGATATACCTGTGAGCATTCATTAATAGAAACACGAAACTAAACACTGGAAAAAGAGTTTATATTTCTTGCGATACGTTAGGGATAGAATGTATATACCCCTCTTTATATCTGAGGGTTTATATACTGTATATCTCTGCTGTATATAAACCCAGCGATGGTATACACACAAGATATTATTACTAGAAAGAGTGTTCTTAATGCGATACAAGTTTGACTGGTTTCGCATAACATACGAAGCAGTTTATCTTTATACATGACGTGGCTATATGAGGAAACATAACTATGGAAATATGATTACGTTCTCAAGTTAGATATATATATTATATACGTTTCCAAAGCGTGACAAGTTTTATTATTCTTTGTCAGTGATGTAGACTTGGTATTGATTTTTGGTTCAGGCGCTAACACAAGGAAGGTTCGTCTGGGTACAACAATTAATAACTTGGAAGATAAAGTATTTTGCTGTAATATTATCCAGGCGTTTGACTTACTGTTACCTGTATAAACTTTCTCTCTCCTCTGTCAGTAGTCATAAAGTCTTCAAACCCCTTCACTACTTAGACGCCATATTTAATTTTTATTTGGGTAATGCCAGACGATTTTATTAAGGGGTTAAGTTTCACACACACACACACACACACACACACACACACACACACACACACACACACACACACACCAAACAAAGTTACAATACTATTTCTCCATTCCAAGATTCCAAGATGGGGTGGGGGATCAAGGTCAGAACACCTCATCTTATTTAATTATTTAATAATGTTGACCTCTGACCTATAATCTCACGGGAATGTTCACATTTCTCTCCCTCTAGTGAAAGCTTGACCTAAACAGATATTTTCAGGCTTCTACTTGACGAACTGTGACCTGTGGAGATTCTGCTTGGTGACCTTTGACCTGCGGGGATTCTCCTTGGTTATCTTAGACCTGTGGAAATTCGCCTTGGTAGCCTTTGACCTGTGGGGATTCTCCTTGGTGACCTTTTATATATATATATATATATATATATATATATATATATATATATATATATATATATATATATATATATATATATATATATATATATATATATATATATATATATATATATATATATATATATACTGTATATATATATATATATATAATTTTTTTTTTTTGAGACTAGTGGAGATTCTCCTTGGTAATCTTTGACCTCTGGGGATTTTCTAGAGATTTAATTCCCTGGGGGGGTCAGAGTAGATCTAACTCGCTACCGACATAAATGTTCCCCAAAGACTGCCTCGGTATTTCGTCTTAAAGATGATATTTTACTTCAGTCCTGTTCTTCTTGTTCTCTTATCTCCTCTCATTCCTTCATCTTGTTCTCCTCTCTCTCCTGTTGTACTTTCTTTTCTCAATCTTTCTCGTTGTTCTCCCGTCTCTCTCTTGTTCTCCTACTCTTTCTTTGTTCTCATTTCTCTTCCCTTCTCTTGTCGTCGATTTTCTCTTGCTCTTTCTCCTTTCTTCTCTCATTCTTTTTTCTGCCTCTTGTTCTTATAATTTTCTTTCGCTCTTTCTATTCTTCTTCAATCTCTCTCTCTCTCTCTTACGGTAATTTCCTCTCACTTATTTTATCCTTGTTATTTTCTTCCTCTCTTCCTCCTGTTCTTATCCTTGTATTTATTATGGAGTTTTCTTTTTCTTAATCTGTTCTTCAGACTTGTATTGGTAGGGACAGACAGACAGACAGACAGACAGACAGACAGACAAATAGGAAGATAGACAGACAGTATGGCATAATTAGACAGGCAGACTTGTAGACGAATAGACAAACGCAAAGAGACAAGCAGGCAGACAGGTCGAGACAGACAGACAGAAAGATAGACAGAAACAAATAGATTGAAAGTTAAAGAAAAGAAAAACCAAAGTTGTATGCAAGACAGAATTGAAAGTATGCAAGAGAGAGAGAGAGAGAGAGAGAGAGAGAGAGAGAGAGAGAGAGAGAGAGAGAGAGAGAGAGAGAGAGAGAGAGAGAGAGATTGGTGAAATATGTTAACATGTTGAAAGGTCCATATAACAGACGAGCATCTTTATGTGAGGAAGCGAGAGGGATGAGTGGGTTAGGCGAGGTGGTGAGAGGGATGAGTGGGTTAGGTGAGGTGGTGAGAGGGATGAGTGGGTTAGGCGAGGTGGTGAGAGGGATGAGTGGGTTAGGTACGATGGTAAGAGGGATAAGTGGGTTAGGTGAGAGGGATGAGTGGGTTAGGTGAGGTGGTGAGAGGGATGAGTGGGTTAGGTACGATGGTAAGAGGGATGAGTGGGTGGGTTAGAGTGAGGTGGTGAAGAGAATACAAAGATGCTTCAAAATAGTCCAGAAAAAAATTATGAAAGCAAAGAAAATATATTTACAGATGATTTGTGGATAAGGTGTGAAAGTAGTGAAAGTTTGGGCTTTGAGACGTATAATTACAGGTGCCAAAGGGGAAAGATGTGGTAGTATTGACATTATTTTATGAAGTGGAATTACAGGTGTGTTTTAAGGGAAATTTAAGAAAGGAGAGAGAAAGTATATTTTGAGAATGAAAGTTACAAAAGTGTTTATGGGAGAGTTATGAAAGTATAGAAAGTATATCAAAGAAATAGATTTATAGTTGCTTAAAAGAAGAAATAAAATAAAAGTGAGTGTTACTGAAAGAGGCTTAAAGGCACGCATGCACGCACGCACAGGGAAGATATAAAAGCAGAATAAGTCTTGATATTTCACGATGTTGATCAAACAAACTTGCTCGCTTTGATTCTCGCTTTCCACCCGTCATCTTTAACCTCCTCTGCTATTCTTCTCCATCGCCTTGGCATCTCTGAACACCGGACTGGTAAATCTCAACGCTGGGCTGATAAAGACATGGGAATTTTTTTTTTTCGTTTTTTCTCCAATATCTATTACTTCTATTTCTTCTGGCTTTTATTTTCCTCGTTATTATTTGAGATTTTTTTTAGTATTGATCTGATATGTTTGTGAATTAGTGAGATATATACTTGGGATTGACCTGACATGCCCTTTATGACGTACTATGACTTACTGACCTCTTATTTCTTGACCTATCCTCCCTTCCCAGCCCCACCGGATCCCGTCAACAACTGCACGGTCGAGAACGTGACTTCCACTGGCGCGTCCATCCGTTGCCAAGCCGGATGGGATGGCGGTCTATCCCAGACGTTCACTCTATCCGTCTCCCACGCCCGCGCCCACACCAGCAGCCATGACAAGAAAGAAGCTCCAAGGGTTTTGGCCAACACCTCCACCTCCCCAAAGCCTGATTTCTCCCTCACTGGGCTTGAACCTGGCACCGAGTACATCCTTACCATTATGGGGGTGAACAAGAAGGGTGAGAGTGAGCCTATGAGGATGGCGATTTTCACCCTCAAAGACGTGGCCGAGAAGAGGACGAGTCCAGGTGGGTGAAGATAGTGTTTATGCTTGATGTTTTCTGAGGTACTGTAGTTTCTTCTAAGAGGTTTGACGCTGATGAGAAAGATCCTCTTCTTTGCATGTCAGGAGACGGAATTAAGACTGAGACTCGTCACATGTTGGGCGGGATTATTCCTGCTGACTTGACTAAAAGTCTTATAAATGCGGGACATGTTTTCTTACGGAACATTTTATATACTAGCAAGAAAGGAATAGAGATTGAGAGATAGACAGAACGAGAGACGGAGAGACAGAAAGACAAAAAGGCGTAAAGGAAAAAGAATAAATACCAAAAAAAATGTTCGAAGATAAATCGAATAATCCCTTCCTCCCGCCTCCCCTCTCTTCCTCCCGCCTCCCCTCTCTTCCTCCCGCCTCCCCTCTCTTCCTCCCTCCACCCATAACTTCCTCCTTCCAGACACACCGTTAATCAGTACCTCCTCCTCCTTCTCCACCTCCGTTATGGAATATCGTTGAGGCTGTCGGGGAAACCGTAGAAGGAGATAGAGGGGAAGCGATAATTGAGGGGAGATCTGTATATATAAAACAATGTTAGTATGTGTGTTTGTGTGATTGTTCGCTGCGCACGGCTACAGTACTGAAGATAGAGAGCTGAAATTTGGCATGAAGATGTGCATGGACCCCAGAAGCGTCGCGAAGGTGGAATTTTGAGAGGGTTATCCCCAGTGGTCGCCCCCCCCCATCCTCCCAAAGGTAAAGCCCCCCCTCCTCCCAAAGGTAAAGCCCCCCCCTCATTAAATAAATATCTATTTTTTATATTTCTTCGCTATGCACGGTTGCAGTTTTTTTTTTCGTAACATAAGAGCTGAAATTTGATATGCTTACGTAAATATCCCCAAGAATGCTCACGAATGCTTAAATTTAAAGACGACCCCCTACTTACAAGTGAGTCCCCGGTTCACGACCACAGTTTTTAATATAGAGATGAAACCCCTGAACACAACAAACACACCAAGATATATAAATAGATACACAGATGTTCAGGAAAATCATCATAGGAATTCACACTGACTCACCAGGTACATCATCAGAACAGGTATACTAAACATATAGACGCATAAAGGCCTTAGTTATTGAAGCGCAGTAATACCATTATGACACACACACACACACACAAACACACACACACACACACACACACACACACACACACACACACACACACACACACACACACACACACACACACACACACACACACACGGTCAGCTCATCACCATCTTCCTTTCTCTCTTAACACAGGAGTGGGCGCCCTGGCTCTCACACCCATCCTGGCAGTACTCCTGGGGGTATTAGCTTCTCTCCTGCTCATGGCCCTGGTCATAGCCTTGGTGGTCAGGTCACGACGCCCCAGAGCCCGTAAGCCCGAGGTCAAGATGGTGTACGACAAGGGGTCAGCTGCCTCGGTGCCTCTCAGGGGCCAGGATGACACGACCTCTAGTGATGACCATAACCCTGACCTCATACCTGTTAATGACGGTGAGTTATTGATGTGATTTGGGTGATTTTACGTGATTTGCATTTTTTTATTAAGATGGTAATTTTGAGAGGGTTAATTTGGTGATTTTTTTATATTTTTTTTGTGCCCCCGAAGGTTAATCCACAACCTCATAGCCACAACTACTATCAAACAATCACCACAAATTACCATATATAACCACCAACTCATAACCACAACTACCACAATCACCACAACAATAAACCATCACAATTACCATCATAACTACCACAATCACCACAACAATAAACCATCAAAATTAATCATAACTAACCACAACTACTACCACACCTCCACCACAATTACTACCAGAGGTAACTTCAGCCTGCACTCCTCCCTCCCGTACAGACCATCAAGTGAAAGACCTCCAGCAGAGCTACACAACAGAGACACTCCCCATGACAGATATTCACCTTCAGCAGCATTCCCCGGTAGCACCCAGCTCACCGCAGACACAGATGCAGGTACAGCAAACACCTCAGCAGCAGCAACACATGAAGGAGTACTTGCAAGGTCATGACGGGTCCTTCTATATCAACCCCGGGACGCTACTACGACAGGTGAGTGAGGTGAGGTGGCCAGGTGTAGTGAGAGAGAGAGAGAGAGAGAGAGAGAGAGAGAGAGAGAGAGAGAGAGAGAGAGAGAGAGAGAGAGAGAGAAGCCTCGCCCTAAGGTTATATAAACTCTATAACTCAGAGAGATTTACCTATGAATCATTCTTCCGATGGTCGATCTATATTACATGTGACGTGAATGCTGAGTTTACTGAAGCAAATGGCTAATATAAATCAAATACTTACCTATAGTGACCCATCCGTATATTTTGTCAGTGTCAACACAGTATCTATATTAGTCTAAAAGGTTATGTTTTGTTCTCATTATCGAAACAAATGAGCATCAGTATGTGTTTTTAATCTATCACATTAAAACATTGGTATACAGGTTTCAATTGTATGTCAATGGGTCAAGGAGGATCATTATTTTTGCATTTGGTTTTCTTGTTGTTACCCTCACTGAGAAGGGAACCTGGTGGGTGTGAATTTAATCTAAGAGTTGCTGCCAGGTGTAAACGGTAATGGACTTAGTTAACCTTTTGATTACATTTCGTGAATTAATCCCCAGGTGATATGGTAGACAAATCTATTTTTTTTAGGTGTATACGAGTAGCCACGTCTTAGTGCGTGGTTGTATAGGGTGTTTCACTAATGTTCATGAATGTGTAGTCAAAAAAGAACTCCTTATTTCCAGTACATCGTTCATATACCTTTGTATTGTATTGGCTTATGTGAGAGAATGTAAGTTAACGTATACAGGGATCATAATATGGCCCCAAAATATTCATAAACTATCATTTCTTCTTCTTCTTTATCTTCGTCTCATCATTATTATTGAAGAAGGAAACGGAATTAAATGACCATTTCCCAGCACTAATAAAATGAACGCCTTTGTCAGCAGCAGCGTTTTAACTAAGCTATATAAATGAACACACAACAAACAGACGAGTATGATCATGACACAGTAATCAAATTTATAGAAGTCATAATTTATAAAGAACATCAATATACTAGTCTGTAAAAGAAAACAGGATAAAACAGCCATGAACGTACCCTGAACTTGATCAAAGACTGTAAATTTACATAGTGCCAACACAGGTAAAAGTTTTGTGGGGTCATGACAACAACAAACACAACAACCCCCCCCCCCCCAAAAGTTTTATTCAAAGGTTTAACAAACACCATCCATTATGTACACTACAGCAACATGTACTGTTGTTCTTTCCCTTAGGCCAACAAATCATAAGATGGGCGCAATGCTCTGAGAGTCTTAAGGTGTATGACAGATCAAAAATATATATATACACACAAATATGAATTCAATCACAGACAGAAACACCATCTTGGATACGTTTTGTAGAGGAGGAGAAAAAAGGGAATAGAATAGTTTAAAGAATATTTCCAGATGGTTAGGGGACTTATCATGAACAGGTCGGAGTTGATTGGGAAGTCGTGAGAAGGTGAAGAGTCCCAAAGTTTAACAGTAAAGGGCAGCTTCACTACTACCCATCCCAGAGTTCTTGAGACCCACCGTGGAGTGAGATAGAGAGAGAACTAACATTGTGATGACGGGAGAATATAGGTTCATGAACATTGAAAACAGACGAGGAAAGTTAATAATGCAAAAGTACACTAGACTCTCTGTTTAGTAGCTCAAACCTTACAAGATATAAGAACAACACTACACACAGAGACGATTCAAACCCGTGAACTTGCAGAGAAGAATCTACAAAAACTAAACATGACTCGTATAGTGTTTTGTAGGTAAATTTTGGTATGTGAATTATGTATAGGGTTTCTACGACAGGTTAGAGGTTACATTGTTACTCAGTATATTTATTGTGTTCACTGGGAGTATTAGAGAACCATTAAAGAAGATTTATGGAGTCTTGGAAGTAGGAAGAAAGGGCGCCATAGAAGCGTTGAATTTCACCAGGTTATTTACACTCAACTGGGAAACTCGATCCAGATACAAATTTAAGGAATTGGTTAAAATGAAGGAGAAAATGAGATCAAAGAGGAGAGGGTGAAGTAAATTTAAAAGAAATAAAAAAATACAGAATCTAGTCATCAGCGTAGGAATGAACTGGGTGTCTAATTAAGGAATGAAGTCAGTGAATACAAAGAAAGAGAAATTGAGATTAATGAAGAGAAATTTGGAGAAATAACAGAAGAATAACAGAATAACTGGAGGTCAGACCACATCAAAATCCTTCGATAAATCAAGAGCCGTGACATGAATACTCTCCACAATCTCTCACAGGGGATGTCCAGAGATTACTGATAGAGGTAACATTATAACGAGTGGTTCTTACTTGATGGGAACTAAACTGGTGATTATAAAGAATACTGTGAGTCATGTCTGAGGAAATAGGAGTTGAGGAAAGATTGGAAAGAGTTGAGAGACAGTTGAAGATAAAGATTTAATTAAAAGGGTTTGGAAAGTCACACTTATTCGGGATGAACTGAATCAAGTATGTCAATAGGATGTAGAAAAGGTTTTTTTTTTTTTTTAATTAAAGACGAAACAAACCCAGGGAGGAAGAGGTAGGGGGTCGTGGGGGGACGATACAACCATACACCTTACTTGTATCTATAGAGGGAAGAGGTTTATGAACATTACGAAAGGAATTTATTATTTTTTTTTTTTTAGGAACGGGGATAAAAATAGTCAGAGTATATCAAGTGTTGAAAGGATCTCGGGAGAATCTATGGTTGAATTAGAGGAAAAAGGTGAGTAGAGTGTTTTTACGAGCTGGGGTAAAGCTACTGTAGTATTAAGGCCAGAAAGAGACGGGAAAAAAATAGAACGGCATAAGTTATTAGAAAACCTTTTGGCTAAGAACCAGAAAGATCTATATATGGAAGAGAGAGAGAGAGATGTTATTACATATTATCTGAACAACCAGTGATTCCTTTTTCACATGACAGATTTACAATGATTCAGAATCGAGATAAAATGAGAGTGGAAGTCTTAAGTAGGGAAATATCTCAGTGAGGTCTCGAACCATGGAAATAATGTTGAGAAAATGACTTCAGTTAGACATTTGACTGAGGCAGTAGCATCACCCGAGGAGTAGAAGAAATAACCCCAAGGAAAATAAAATAGGAATACACGCAAGGTGATCCAGTCAACGCTGTCATAACACACATTTAAAGGAAGGAGAAAGAGGAGAAGGTTATACAAGGAAGCCAAGACCCACATTATTAATAGATAAACAGATCCACATTATTAACACCAGGAACTTATTTTCGTAATTGTTAATAGTTGTTATCTTGTGTATGAACCTCGTTAGACTATGTACTAAAAGGCCTTAGTAGCTGAAGCACAGATATACATATATAACAAACTCATTAAGAATAGATGCCATAATGTAGACGCTTCAACCCCCCTTTAATATATTATGTGTTAAGAGTATTTGAACGTTAGCTTCCAGTGTAGTGTTGTGGTAAATTATAATCTCAGAACGTCAATAGAAATCATATAATTCACTGTGATATAAAAAATAAAAATAAGTAACTTCATATATCACATTCACATAATTCAAGTCATGTTCAGTACAGTTACATGTGTGGAATTCGTAACTCTTGACGTTATCATTAGTAACTTGACCCACCCAGCGGCTTCTCCTAAAAACACAAATCTGTGATACGTGGCGCTAGGTTCACGCAACAAACACTCTGAGTATTGTACTGCTTCACTCATAACATCTTCAGCCACTAGCGCTTCTTGGTAACACACATCCTTGTAAAAAACAAAAACGACAAAAGAAACATAATAAAATAAACTGTATTGAAGTTTTCTACTGGATTTTCTTCCTTCTTTTCGTGGATACTTTAAATGTCCACTTGGGAAAACACGAATTCTCACGTTCGCTCGTAGTCGACCACAAACATTGGAAAACTCTGCATCTGGAGCCATTCTCGCCTGTGTTATACGTGGCTCACTGTCTTGTGTCTCAGTGTTATTAAACAAATATATTGTGGGAAGACATATACAAAGACGGAGATTATCATAGTGATTCCTTTGTCTCTATTTCTCCCTTCTTTTGTTTTCTTCTACACGATCTTTTTTTCGCCTTTGTGTTTTTTCTTCTTCACCAACTTGAATATGTACGTGAATATGTAAGTAAGCGTGTGTGTGTGTGTGTGTGTGTGTGTGTGTGTGTGTGTGTGTGTGTGTGTGTGTGTGTGTGTGTGTGTGTGTGTGTGTATTCTCCCATGTACACACAACACGACCCCGCCATCATCAACATCCTACATGTACCTAAAAGCCTAATTGTTTTTAAAAGTCATGGCTCGAATTTCCAATGATATTTTTTGCACTCTCCATTATGTTTGTGAACTTATTAACCTTTTATCTAATTTTTTCCCATCCGCTATGAAAGTAAAATTTCCTAATGTTAAAGTCCATTAAAAAATAAAAAAAAATTACAGAGGAAAAGTGTAAATATATTGTTGTTTTTTCAGTAATTATTTCTGATTTTGTTGTTCGTTTTTTATTTTATTTTTATTTTTTGTGTATTGAGTGAGTGATAACAGATTGGGTTTTGCCTATCGTATTTGCTAATTATATATTTTTTTTTTGCATAAACACCAAACACATTACGCAAATAGAATAAACAGTTCATATCAAGTGTTTGATTTCGAAAAAAATTGGTTTTCAATTTTCTATTTTAGTTTTTAAAAAGTTATAGAGGTGGAAAAAAGTACCAGTAATTGTTTGTGTGTTTTTGAGCGGCATTTTTATTCGATAATTTTTATATCAGCATCACAAAGTAGACTAGTTTATTAGGTATTATTAATTAGACATTTGAGGACGAAATAAAATCACATCCTCATCCTCAAACTGACTTGTATGAACAGTAAAAATGCGTATATATATATATATATATATATATATATATATATATATATATATATATATATATATATATATATATATATATATATATATATATATATATATATATATATATATATATATATATATATATTACATTACT